CTGAGAAACGTAAGAATGGGGGAGGTGGGGAGAACTTCCTAAAAATGATTTATACCAGCTATGATTAATCAAGTTGGGGAAGCTATTCTTTAGCTGGTTCAAGCTCCATAACAGCAAGCTCCATACAAATCATTAAAAGAGAATATACATAACATTCCCACTCTTCAAAGACAGACACTGAACAAATGAGGAGTAAGACTCAGCTACTATTTATTGAGCAGCTACTATGCAAAAGACGCTATGCTAGTCTCCAAGGATTTAAGTGGAAAAAGATCTCTCAAATCCTCCCAATAACCATGTGGTTTTACACCCATCTTAAGATACCAAAGCCGAAGTTTTAAGAAGCCACCCATGATCAAACTGGAAACACAAAGCATAACTAGCACATGGACTCAGGCCTAACCAAAGTGAATGCTTACATCTTTCTTGCCATGATATAGTGGGAGACTGGGGCAGGGAGCAGAAGCATGTCTTCTTAATATTTAAGAACCTTCTTTGCACAAAACCAGGAAGTTTCATGGCCTTAGCCACAGAAGTTCCAAAATGACAAATACGAATTTGGTCTAGAGGGAATGGGAGCTATCATCGTGACCCCACACACACAACACTTACATACTCATTAGATTTTAAGCAATGTTCTCAATATTAGAAACATTTTAACTCATTTATTCACAACTGACATATGAGATAAGCGCTATTTCTATTCTCATCTTTATAGATGATGACATGAGAAAAAGAGGTTAAATAAATTCCCAAGGTCACAGGATTCGGGTGCAGAATCAGGCTCCAGGGCTCACGCTTCTAATGCTACTTGTAAACACAGACACTGAGACTTGAAATGTTAAGGATAAAAACAACACTGAATACCTATCCAGAGACATGTCCTGGAATGTGGGACTTGGGCTATGAATGGTTTGTAAGTGACCTAAATAAAGATAACTGTTCCTCTGGCAGCAAGATACAATCCTGACTACTCTTTCCAAGACTCAATATATTAAGTATTTAAAGTGCTGTATTTTTTCACGCCTTTTTTCTTGCTCCATTTCAGAGGCCGTTATCACATGCAGTAATTTCCGTCTACTTCTTTATCTTCCAGAGGACTGGTAACATCATTTGATCAAATGTACAAACCGAGAGTCTTCACAGATTTTACAGAGACAGGCATCCTTCCCAACAAGCTTTCGCACAAGTCTCTTAAAGATCAGGGCAAGACCATCAGGCAGAAGGTGACAGGGCATTTTACTCACGTAAATAACAATGATGGACAGGGCCCAGAATTGAGGTTAATAAAAGCTTATCCTTTCAGAATTGTAATTCAAAAATTTGTCTTTTTTTAATGCTGTTTATAGTGTCTAACATCTTGTTACATTTAAAACTTATTATGTTTAATTTAAAATACCACTTTATTAATTATTAACTTACCACAGCAGACTGGGACCTAGTTTCAATAATGACATTTTTAAAATCCACCTACCAAACCTCTGAAATCTTGAGTTGAAAATCCAAATTTCTACCTCTGTTACAAAATCAATGGCATTCATTCCCAATGACAATGTTCCTACTAGACTGAGCAAAAAACAAATTTTGGAGAAGTGAAGGGGGAAAAAAAAGCTAAACTCATGGCAATCAGACACAAGTGTTCCAGAAGCAAAACCAAGATCTATAATTCACCCATTCTTTACCCTCTACTTTAGAAAACTTCCTCTAGTTATTTACTCAACAAACATAAGGTATTAAATAAGCCAGAGAATATAAAAAATATAACCTGACCTCAAGAAGCAAGAACACATAAATCAATTAAGTGCTACAAAAGTGCCAGAAGTTTTAACACAGGACACGGAATGAACACTTTCACTGTAAGCCTTCCATCTGAGAATCACTTTTACCAAATTAATAAAGGAGAATGACACATTACAAGTAGCATGCTGACATCTAAAGCAACATCTGGCCTGAAGCTGTTGACATTAAAGGATTTATATAAATTCAAGCAGCTCCTTATTTTATCAGTGTTACATACAATCAAAACAGGGCACAGCACAAAACTTTACAATGGCTATGCATAAAGACATACTTGAAATCTAGTCATTGAAGGCACAGAAAAAAGTTCAGGCTGCTGACATTCATAACTTTTTTACAGATCTCTCATCTCAAATTTAATACCAGGTAAGCACCACATCACCCTCTCCTTATTTAAAAACTTTTAACTTGTTTTTTAATTTTACATACATAAAATTCATTCTGTGGTATAGAAATTTACATGTTTCAACAATGCATAGAGTCATGTATCCATCATCACAATCAATCTGCCTTCATTTTTTATAATAAACTTTGTATATTTGATTTGCTTAAAACAAAGGAGCAGCATATTTACAACTGCTCTTAGTTTGGAACTCTGTGAAAGAAAAAGGAGAAAGAAAAACAAGACTTGAGTCTAACAAGGTTTACTATCATACGCAATAGCTCTTGACGTCGCCTTCCTCAGTTTAAACATTTAAGGGTCTGCTATGTCATAAACACAATTAGGAACTAGAATACCAAGATTATGTAAAATATGAAAGTGCCCTGAAGGAGAAAGTAGGTCATTGCAAGTCACTTTAACATATGCAAAAGCCAAAAACCAAAATAGGTAAAGTGTATTCTGGCAAGAAGAAGTTTAGTATAACTAGACTGTAGGGCATATGATGTGCAGCGTCGGATAATACCGATAAACTAGGATAAGGCCAAATTTTAAACTGGCCAACAACTGAAATTTAACCTTTAGGCCAGTGATTCTAAGGCTTAACATCAGAATCAATTAGAACTTTAGGAAAGAAAAAAACAGATGTTGGGGACTCCATCCCCAGACCAATAAAATCAGAATTTGTCAGACACATGCATGTGAATATTTTAAAGCTTCCCCGGTTATTTTTGGGTTCACTCGAGGTCATGAACCACTGAAACTGCAGAGGGAAGGCAGGAAGATCATTAGAGAAGTGACATGATGAAATTTGTTTTTAGGAAGACTATGGAAGATGAAAAGACAGGAAAGGTACTAGTGGCAGAGGCATAAAAAACAGAGAACATTCTGCTGATAGAATCAACAAAGCAGACATAAGGAAAAAAATCAAGAATATTTAAATTTTACCTTAAAAAACTTAGAAAATGAAGAGTAACTGAGTTTAGTAATTGAGTTTAAATATGGGTAAAGCCAGTTAACAAAACCGGAGTAAGACAGGGCTAAAAATCTGGGCCATCAGCACTAGGGCATCACAGAAGTGTGTGATATCACTCAGGAAGCACATGTTGAGCATTTTTAAAAACCACCACCAAGATTCATTATCTAGAGTGCTTGTCAGTAATGCAAATTCCTGGGTCCCAATCCAGACATACAGAATAAGTCATTTAAAGTCTCTGAAAATTGATGAGAACCACTGAAGAGAAAAGAAAAAAAAAGCAGAAAGGACCAGAGTAGAGTTTTAGTGAGATCAAACATCATGTGCTCTATATGGGAGGCTTTGGGTCACAATTTTATGAATAACTGAGGCTGAAGTTTTGAGTACTTCACAACACAATCCATGGAGATCTTCCAAACTGGCCGATTTGGCTATACTTACGCAGTGAAATCCGCAGCTGCTGTAGCTGCTTTGGTGGCATCCTTATTCAATGTCGCGCCCCAAACAGCACCCTTATGACCCAAAAATGTTCCAATCCAGTCTCCGGTATCTCCCTGGCGTAGCATAGGTTTCCCGTCTAAAACACATTCAAAAACTGTGATTTAGAAGTTCAAATTACTTCAAATCTAAGACTCAAACATAAAGTGATCGTGTCAAATAACAAAGTGTTAAACTGCTTTTGTTGTGTAACTATTCTCATTCACTGGGGTCACTACGAAACGTTCAGAAATAAATTAACTGAAGAGACAAGCCAGACATTCTCGCTGAAGCATTTGTAAATCGGTGGGAATACTGATTTGCATCAAAATAACCTAGATTTGAATCTTATTTTGGACAAACTTTTTAACCTGAACCTGTTTGCAACTGAAAAATGGGCCTAATACCACATAGGAATGTCCAGTAAAGGCAATGACAAGTCTCTAAAATAAAGAAAGGTATTACTCGCCTGGCCTCCTGTTTTCTCTATTCCCCATATCCTTGAAAGATTACAGTATATGACGGCAGAGGCGTCTAGGCAAGTGTACAGTCCCGCTTCTCCAAAAATAGCAATAAAAGCGAAATGAGAGGCCCAAGTTGGGGGCAGTACTTAGCCTCGTCAGAGAATCAGAAAAGCCTCCCTTGACTCCAGCTGCGGAATCCCTAATACAGTGTTTTCCCTATCAGACCACTGTTGGCCCCAATCTCAAAGACTGAGATCCCCCCTTCCGCACTGGGGAGTACCCGCCACTCTACCTTCCGGCCCAGTCCTAGGCGTCAGGGACCCGGATCCAGGGGCCCTGCTCACCTTTGCAAGCGCTGATTAAAAAATAGCCATAGGGCGTGATGCCACTGAAGGCCAAATCGACCACAGGCCGCGTGTGGCCCGAGCAGGTGAGCGGCGTCTGCCTCATTGCCATGGCGGCAGTGAACCGAGCGATCCGGATGTGGAGCCGAGGGTCGTGTTGTCTTTTCTTTCCTCTGCCGCAGAGCCTCTGGCTCAAGGCCCCCGCCCTGACACTGGGGGCTGGGGCTGGGCCGAGAAACAGGAAAAAGAGGCCAATCGGGTAGCACCGAGATCAGGAAAGGGTTGGGGATGGGTCAGGGAGTCTGCGGCGGGCGACCGACAGCCGCCAAGGGAGGGAAAGGGAGGGAGGGAGGAAAGTAGGGGAGGGGGAGAACCGGAGAACCGGCGGCCACGACCCGCACCGTCCACACCGGTACTGGCAGGAAGTGACGATCCCAATGACGCCAAGCGTCCGTGGGAAGTGACGATATAGCGAGAAGGCAAGTTTGCCCGATAGCGGAGCGATTAAGACAGCAGCGCGCAGGCGCGAGATCAGCGCACGTTGGGCACGTGATACCGGCCCCACGCCGGCTACGTACGCATGGAGGAGCTCTGTACTTTGCCGCGGAGTTCCCCGGCGCCAAGCTCTGACCAGTCGGAAACGTCCTTTCTGTCTCCGGGCGGAGTCTGGTGAGTGCGAAAGCTGTGACTTCTCGTCTCAGACTCTGGACCTGGCGGCCCCTGTGGATTAGGCGCCAAGCAATACAACTGGCTGGACTGTGCTTGCTGTCTGAACATCTAATCTAGAATGGACAACCAGAGTAGTTCCCAGCGGCGGCCCAAACCAGCAAACATCCTCTAAGAACTTTTTTTTTCAGTTCTTAGTAACAACTACAAAGGCAGCCCCTCTGGGGTTGTCGTTAAGGCCCATAAGAAAAATAATTTCTCCAGGGACTATGTAAAAATTCCTGTACTGCTAGCATTTTAGACATGAGTGTTATGTGACTTTAAAAACAGTTAAATTTAAATCGCTTTCCCTTTTAAGGACTTTGAAGGTCTCTAGAGCAGTGGTCCCCAAACTTTTTTGATAAAATATTCACATCAGTAAAACTTGAATCGGCACTCCCATTATGGGGATAATAATGTGTATATTAAATGCGTGTGCATTATAATTAGGCAAAAACATACTAGAAGAATCTAAAAACTAAATATAAATAGAAACCCTGGTATGATCTTCCTGCAGGCAGCCCACTTAGGGTATGGGTATCACTGCTCTGTGTAACAACCGGACTTCTTGGTTGTCTTCTCATACAAAACCTTTGTAAGCAGGAAACGTCCTATCTGGGGCAAGTTGTTTCTTTCCTTTGATACTAGACTGTAAACCGAAGACAGAGATTTTTGTGATTCTTTCACCACTTTATCCCCAATACTGTAATATATTAGCACATACCGATAAATAGCACAAATGATTGAATGTTTCCTTCTCCGTCATCTTTTTTGTAATAAACGTGTATCGTATTTCAAAATTCAAGTCTTGAATGGGGACTTGAAGTACTTCCACAATCTATTTTGTTCATTCATCTATAGTACAGACTTGCCATATATGTTTTCCATTATCTTTGATTCTACTTCCTCTGTGCCAACCTCACCCTATAGTCCAACACACACAGAGACTCCATTCATACGCTTAAATATGAGCTGCTTCATGGCAATGGTTATGACTTTGGCATCTTTGTACTCTAGTACTGAAGAGCGAATGGCATTTAGTGGATGTTCAACAAATGATTGTTTACTGATTAAATAACTACATTACTGATGGACGTAAATAAAAAGTTAAAACAGCTAGTCAGTCAAAAATATATATCCATTTGCTGCTCATTGTGTGTAGATAAGCATATAACTGATATGTCTCTAAAGAATGTGTATGACTATGTAGTGACAGATGGTAACTATCCTTATGGTGATGAGCATTGCATAATGTATAGAATTGTCGTATCATTACGCTGTACATCTGAAGCTAATATAACATTGTATGTCAATGATACTTCATTTTTTTAAAAAAAGGAAACGGGAAAATTGGTTTTTAAAAAGTGTACTTCCTCCTCATTTGGATTGTGGTTTTTGAGAGTATTATGCATCCTGATCAATGGTAGGGACTTCAAGGGGAGTTTAGTATTAGAAGACAGATTAATGCAATTAATGTAATATCACTCCAACACAGTATTCTATTAGATGTTTAGATAATCCAAGAAGGCATAAGTGTTGAAAAGAAAGTTACAAATCTGTAATGATTTAAAGATTATTTATGGAGATTATATATAAAGAAAAATGTTTTAAAGATCTAATATAAATTACTGGAAGTAATGAAAGTTTAGCAAGTTTGCTGGATTTTTATTTATTTGTTTTTTTAAAGATTTTATTTATTTGACAGAGAGATACAGTGAGAGAAGGAACACAAGCAGGGGGAGTGGGAAAGGGAGAAGCAGGGTTCCCGCTGAGCGGGGTGCCCGATGCGGGGCTTGATCCCAGGACCCTGGGATCATGACCTGAGCAGAACTAAATGACTGAGCCACCCAGGCGCCCAGGTTGCTGGATTTTTAAAAAAAGTATTGCAAAACTAATTGCATTTCTATAACTAGCAACAAACAAAATGTAATTTTAAAATGTGCCATGTAAAAAGCATGAAGACATAAAGAGTACTTGAAATTAAATCTGACTGAGTATGTTTCCCGGCAGAAAAAAAAATCTGGCACATTGAAATGTAGAATTGAGGAGAGTTTAATGAATGGATCATTTACTAAGATGTAGTGAGGATCAAAAGTAACCATGACAGGGCTCCTGGGTGGCTCAGTCACTTAAACCTCTGACTCTTGATTTTGGCTCAGGTCATGACCTCAGCGTCTTGAGATCAAGCCCAGTGTGGGGCTCCACATTGATTGTGGAGCCTACTTAAGATTCCCTTCTCCCTCTGTCCCTCCTCCACTTCACCCCTTATGTGTTTTCTCTCGCTCTCAAAAAAAAAAAAAAAAGTAACCAACAAGGAATGGTGAAACCCAGGGAGAAGATGGGGGTTCTAACCATAAATCTGAGTGGGCAATTGAAAGAAAGCAAACCAACATATTTCCAAATTGATGCACAGATTCAATACAATTCCAAGTAAAAGTCCCAGTTGTTGAAAATGAAACTTGACATACTAATGCTAATATATAGAATAGCAAAAGACCAAAACTAGCTGATACACTCTAAAAAAAGAAAAACAAGGGAGAAGACTTCTCTAAATATCATGAATATATTTTTCAATTTCAAGTGTAATAAACATTGTGGCGGGATGCCTGGGTGGCTCAGTCGGTTAAGCATCTGCCTTTGGCCCAGGCCGGGGTCCTGGGATCGAGTCCTGCTTCAGGCTCTTTGCTCAGTGGGAAGCCTGCTTCTCCCTCTGCTCCTCCCCCTGCTTGTGCATGCACTCTCTCTGTCGAATAAATAAAATCTTGAAAAAAAAATATGTCAGAATGGCTATCATCAAAAAGAGAAGAAATAACAATTGTTGGTGTGGATATGGAGGAAATGGAACATTTGTGCCTTGTTGGTGGAAATGTAAATTGGTATAACCACTATGGAAAACAGTATGGAGTTTTCTAAAAGAAAAAAAATTGAGCTACTCTGTGATCTAGTAAGCTCACTTCTGAGTATATAGTCAAGGAAAATGAAATTAGTATTTTGAAGAGATGTCTGTATTCCCACGTTCATTGTAGCATTATTTACAATGGCCAAGGTATGGAAGCAACCAAAGTGTCCATCCATGGATCAATGGGTAAACGAAATGTGATATATATGTAATGTGGTATAGATGTATAATGGAGTATTATTCAGCCATAAAGAATGAAATCTTGCAATTTGTAACAACATGGATGGAACACGAGGGCATTATGCTAAGTTAACTAAGGCAAAGAAAGATAAATACTCTATGATCTCACTTATATGTGGAATCTAAATTTAAAAAAGCAAAACAAGCTGATAGATACTGAGAACAGATTGGTGGTGTCCAAAAATGGGGGCGGAGAGTGGAGAAAAGGGGAGGGGGCAAAATGGGTGAAGGGGGTCAAAAGGTACAAAATTCCAGTTCTAAAATAAATAAGCCATGGAGATGTGATGTACAGTATGGCAACTATAGTTAATAATACTGTATTGCATATTCAAAAGGGTGATCATTTTGCAATATACACAAATATTAAATCATTATGTTGTATACCTATTATATGTCAATTATACCTCAATTTTTAAAAATTAACAGCTTGAAATTTCACAGATTTGTTATCCCACAGGTTCTGTGTATTAGGAGCCCAACATGTTTTAACTGGGACTTCTGGTCACTATTTTAAAGGCTGAAATCAAAGTGTGGGCCCACTGTGTCCTCATCTGGAAGCTGAACTAGGGAAATATCTGCCTCCAATTAACATCAAGAACTTTATTAATATTATTCTTTCCCCTCTAATCCACAGTGTTGCCCTGTCATTAATTAGATTTTTCTGTATATGGACTATTATTTTGTTCCTTTTTTCTATTTTTATCCAGTGCCATTGCCACAATGGTTTTTGTTTTGTTTTTAAGATTTTATCTATTTGTCAGAGAGAAAGAGAGCACAAGCAGGGGGAGTGGCAAGCAGAGGGAGAAGCAGTCTCCCACCGAGCAAGGAGCCTGATGCGGGGATCCTGGGACCATGGGATCATGACCTGAGCCAAAGGCAGAGGCTTAACCGACTGTGCCACCCAGGCATCCCAATTCTAACAGATTTGGGAAATGATATCTTATTATGGTTTTGATTTGCATTTTCTCGTGATTAGTGATGTTGAGTACATTTTCATGTAACTGTTGGCCATTGTATTCCTTCTTTGAAAAAATCTTTATTCAGTTCCTCTGCCCATTTTTAAATTAGATTGAGTTTTTGCTATTGAATTGTTTGAGTTCTTTATGTATTTGGCGTATTAACTCCTTATCTGATATATGGTTTGCAAATATGTCTCCCATGGGTTGCTTTTTCAGTTCTTTTGCTGTGCAGATGTGTTTTAGTTTGATGTAGTCTCACATACTAATTTTTGCTTTTGTTGCTTATGCTTTTGTTGTCATCCGAAAAATCATTGCCAAGACCAAAGTCAAGGAGCTTCGTCCTGTTTTAGGTTTTTTTTTTTTTTAAGATTTTATTTATTTATTTGAGAGAGGGAATGAGCGGTGGGGAGGGGGAGAGGGAGAAGCGGACTCCACACTGAGCAAGGAAATGGATTCAGGGCTCCATACCAGGACTCTGGGATCATGGCCTGAGCTGAAGGTAGATGCTTAACTAACCAAGCCACCCAGGATGCCCCTATTTTTTTCTAGTTTTATCACTTTAGTTCTTTAAGTCCCTAAACCATCTCAAATTAATTTCGTTACTGTGCATATGATTATTCAGTTTTCCCAACATCATTTACTGAGTAGTCTGTCTTTCCCCCATTGTCTATTCTCAGCTCCCTCATCAAGTGTTAGTTGACTCTACATACAAGGGTTTATTTCTGGGCTCTTGATTTTGTTCCATTGATCTATATGCCTGTTTTTACACTAGTACCATACTGTTTCGATTACTATAGCTTTGTAGTATAGTTTGAAATCAGGAAGTTCAATGCCTCCAGCTTTGTTCTTATTTCTCAGGATTGTTA